AAGGAAAACATTAAACAAGAATGGAGTACATGGGAGGACATCACGGAGGAAGCCATTGCTGTCCAAAAAGAATATTGCAGCACGTTTGAAGTTTGCAAAAGAGCACCTGGATGTTCCACAGCACTACTGGCAAAATATACTGTGGACAGATGAAACCAAGATTGAGTTGTTTGGGAAGAACACACAACACTATGTGTGGAGAAAAAAAAAGGCACAGCACACCAACATCAAAACCTCATCCCCACTGTAAAACATGGCGGAGGGAGCATCATGGTTTGGGGCTGCTTTGCTGCCTCAGGGCCTGGATGGGTTGTTGTCATTGATGGGCAAATGAATTCCAGAGTTTATCAAGACATTTTGCAGGAAAACGTGCAACCATCTGTCCGCCAACTGAAGCTCCGCAGAGGATGGGTGATGCAACAGGACAATGACCCAAAGCATGCAAGTAATTCAACAAAACAATGGCTGCAACAGCACAGAATACGCCTTCTGGAGTGGCCCAGTCAGAGTCCTGACCTCAACCCGATTGAAATGCTGTGGAATGACCTTAAGAGAGCGATTCACACCAGACATCCCAAGAATATTGCTACACTGAAACAGTTTTGTGAAGAGGAGTGGTCCAAAATTACTCCAGATCGTTGTGCAGGTCTGATCTGCAACTACAGGAAACGTTTGGTTGAGGTTATTGCTGCCAAAGGAGGGTCAACCAGTTATTAAGTCCAAAGGGTCACATACTTTTTCCTCCCTACACTGTGAATGTTTACATGTTATGTGCAATTAAACCATGGCAACATCTAATGTTTGTGTAGTATTATGTTCAGCAGACTGTGTTCTTCTATTGTTGTGACTTAGATGACGTTCAGAGCACATTTTATAACCAATTCATGCAAAACTCCACGTAATCCCAAGGGGTTCACATACTTTTTCTTGCAACTGTAAACAACTGTTTGCACAAATGCCTACCTCCCACATAGACTAAGTGCAATACATAAATAAATGGTGCCAAATAAATTAAGAGTCCAACATAAATTAAGTGCCAAATAAAAAAATTCATATAAAGTCCATAAACTCCAAGTGCTCCATGATCCTTTAAGTACTGCAAAAAAAGAAAAAACACCCAGAAGTTTTGTGATCTTCCTTTCTTGCCAAAGGAGTGAAACACACCACACTCACCAGAAAAATATGACCTCTCTTTCTCAGGTCAATTATGCTTTAACATCTCCAGTGTTTCTTGTTTTCCTCTTTAATCCAGCTTGTATTAGGAAAGTTGGATACAGCATATAACCATGGCAGCCTTGCACATCAAGAAACTTCTCATTGTGTAGTATAGTAAGTTTAATTTTAAAAAATTCTTTAAAATTTCACTTACATAAATATAAAACATCCAAGCATGTAAACTCAAAGCAGGAACACTTTGCATTCCACCTGCGTTCCACCAACCAGAAGTGACGTATCATGCAAGCTCCACCCAATGCATTTCATTGGCAACATCTGACATCATCAGGGGTCATGTGACTAGATACTTCCTATATATACAAACTACAGCAACCATCTTGCTCCCACTAAATCCAATCAAAATCCAAACCATCCAGCTCCCAGCTGAAAGTGTTTATCCAAAATGAAGTCTATGTAATATTCTTTCAATTTGTCAGACTATATTTTAGGGGTATATGGAGTTTAAGATGTGTCCCAAACATCGATTACCCACCCATTGAATGAGGATATCTAGTAGTAAGTTATCATTATGTCCATTTTATCATTAAACCCAAACTTTCCATCCCACAGGATAAATACAATTGCATTATTACATATAATAACCAAATTTACCCAAATAAATGGATAGGGCCCCCTAATGGTTGGGTCACCTATTACAATTCTATTAGGTCCTCTATGCTAAGGAGACTCCATGGTGGTTTACTCACAATGTGCAATGCCAATAAATGAGTCATATATTTACTCAGTTGGATAGTTTGGGTGCAATTACAATCTTAACATCATATTAAAAATTAAAAATGAAACCATTTAAATCAGTATCTACATTAAGGCCTGCAAGACATAAAATATTGAGTTCAAAAATTCATTTTGTTTCATTCACAGAAACAGCTTGCTTTAAATTGGTACCTCTCCAGTCTCTTTCAACTTTATCAGTACCACAAAATGTTAAAACACCAGGGTCGTTGTTAGGATATAACCTAAAGTGATTAGAAACATTATGTTGGAGAAAACCTTTTTTAATATTATTTATATGTTCATTTATTCTAACCCCTAATTTCCTTGTGGTATATCCTACATACTGAATCCTGAGGGAAAACTCAGTAAATAAGTGACATGGTCACTCTGGCAAGTAATAAATATATTAATTTTTATATTCTTTGCCTGTACTAAATGATTTAAAGCTAGATTTCTTCCTCACATTATTATTCTATTTTTTAAGCATTACATCTACCACAAGAAAAGAACCCAATGGTGTCCAAAAAATGTACACAGTGTCTTAGGTGGATCTGGTATGTTGTGGGCCATTTCATTACGTAAATTGGGAGCTTTACGATAAATAAATAGTGGTTTCTTTGGTTTCTTTGGGATTAATTTGCCTGAAGGTTTATCCTTCCATAGAATAGGTCAATATTTACAGATGATCTTTTCAAGGGATCTATAATCCTGATTAAATTCTGTAATAAAGGCTATATCATACCCATCTTTTTTATGTTATTTTTATCTTCAAGTAATATGTCCCTATCCATCTCTTGGACTTTAGTTCTAATTGCTAACAATAAATCATCCCTATAACCTTTCTCCTTAAATCTATCTACTATTATATCTGCTTATGCATGGAAATAATTTACATTGCTACAATTCCCCTTGCCTCACATTAGTTGCCCTTTTGGGATTCCCCCCCAACCACCCAGGGTGTTGACAGCTTTCAATGGGAATATAACTATTCCGATCTGTATCTTTGAAGTATGTCTTACTACATATGTTCCCATTACCTTTATAGAGCACTAGGTCCGGAAAATTAACCACATCTTTATTACACCCTCCTATGAAAATGAGTCCATATTGATTACAATTGAAGTATTTCAAAAATTCTTCCAAACTCTACTTATCCTTTCCATACAATCACTATATCATCTATAAAACTTTTATACATTGATAACCCCAGTGTTTCTCTACCATATATTTCCCTCTACTCCCATTGTTCAAGTATAATATTAGCCACACTAGGGGCATATTTGGCTCCCATAGCAACTCTCCTTGCTTGATTAAAAAGGAACCACTATACCAGAAATAATTGCTTGTCATTGCTAGCTCCAAAGATTTCAAAAGGAACTTTTGTTGGTCTCTAAAGCTTTTTTATAGCTAATAATGCATGTTGTTTAATACTAGCATATAGTGATTCTATGTCTATTGTTACTAGAAGAATATCATCAACTGGTATATATTTTTAGAGAATGTTAAGCAAATGTTTACTATCTCTCAAAAAATAAGGATACATCTCAGGGGCTGAGGAAAAAAAATACAATACCAAAAATTATGGGTATCCCCGGAGGTTTATCTTTAGTTATGTACTTTAGGTTACTGGTATATAACAGGCAATCTTGGTGCTTCTGGGATAAGGTACCTGGCGTCTTCCTTAGTTAATATTCCTTTTCTTTGTGCTTTCTTTATCAATCTGGATATCTTAGGTTTTAATTTTGATTGGGATCTCTGGGTAGCTTTATGCAGGTGTATTATCTCCCACCAATCTGTCTAGTTCTCTATTATAATCTTCTTTATTTAAAATCACAATTACCCCCCCCCCTTATCTGCAGGCCTTATTATAATATTCTTCCTTTTTAAAATTCCTTTATACCCTTCTGAATATCACTATTGTATTGGTATTTCTTACTTTTAAAATGTTTTATTTCTTGTTCAACCATAGACTTAAAAAACATCTAAAAACAGATTAGAAGAATTTTTAGGATTAAATATGGATCTATTCCTCAATCCGCTTCTCTTGAATACTGAATCCTCAACATCATTATTCACTATTTTGTCAGAAAAATGTTTCTTAATATTTAATCTCCTAATAAATTTCTGCACATCAAGTATTGAATGCATTTAATCTTTTATTGGGGGAATGCTTTAAACCTAAATTTAGAACATTCAATTACTTATCGGTAAATTCCACATTTGTTAAATTGAAAATCTCTTGTTGGGTTATTCCCTCTTTCTTTATATTCTTCCTCCCTCCTCTCCTGCCTCTAAAGCATTTCTTGATTGTTCTCTTTGTGGCTATTGGGGGACAGTCAATGGAAACCCAGGATGCCTTTCCTTGCACCTCTCCCTCTGTGTTAAGTTCCCTTTGTATTGATTCCTCTGATTAAACTAGGGGTTGTAATCTATTGTAAGTGGGTATGCAGAAACGTGATGTTCTAGGTGGACTATTTTAATAATTGGGAGGATATCCCTTTCTTCCCTGGTATGCATTCCCAGGTGTATCATAGTTCCTAGGTGTTTTTCTGTAGAATTCCTCCTCAGGGGTTCTCTAGGGATAGTAAAATGATGGCCAGGCGGGACTTTCATCAATCCGGGTGGATGCCATATGATGTCCTCCTGGATTGCTACCTTGCGTGCTCGTGGGGCCATGCTGCGGCAAGAACTGTCACCGGCTGTGTCCATCGGTCACAGCTGATGACTGATCTGTGTACTGGCCTGTTTCTGGTACCATGTGACCACTGTGACCAATCACAGCAGGTCACATGACAATTGTAAACAATGCATGGCTTCCTTTTATGCCATCCATTGTATATAATTGTTTTGCTAGATGTGATTGGTTACAGTGAGTACATGGAACAGACTGGGCCAATCACAGCCCATCTGTGTCATGTGATTAGCTATGGCTATAAGCAATCATAATGTCTAAAGAAAATACTGATCACTTCCTTTACTATATGATTACATTGCACTGCACTGGTTACAGTATGTAAAAAATGATTTTTGTTTTTAATTTCTCCCAAAAATTATGACAAAAAATTTAAAGTTCAAAAAACTTGCCATGCCTCTTACAAAACACCTCAGAATGCCTTTCCAAAAAGGGGTCATTTGGGGGATATCTGTACTGTCCTGACATATATGGGCCTCAAGAAATGAGATAGACCATAAGTACATCAGAATTGATTGATTTTTAGATACTGTATACTGATGACCTATAGGGGCTTTTGAAGCATCATTTATAGAAAATATAGGGTACTGAAGTTTGAAGTTTTCATAGGTACACAAAAAATTTAAGGTTTTGCATGTTGGGTATCTAAATCAGCACAACCTCATATTTTATATTGTATCGAAAATTGAGTAATTCATTGCATTTGTTTGCCCTAAAATTCACTTTAGTGTATTTTTTACAGAAAGTTTGCATTTCCTAGACCTTTGCAATAATATTGTGTGACAAAAAAATTGGAACTACCACTATTTTATACTAGGGGTGTCTGCTTTCATAAAATATATAATGTTTGGGGGTTTTGTGTAATCTTCGGGCATAAACTGATTTTTTTTAATATTTGTGCACAAAATACAAAAACGCCTCTGGCAGCGATAGGGTTATTAAAACAAGGTGAAGCTGAATAAGAATGTGACAGCTACAGGATATTGCGTTAAATCTCTGGGTAAATAAGAGAACCAAAAACTTTTCTAAGTGGAAGAGTGGATTTAATAATAATGTTGGCAGTTCCTCCACCCAGGACAGGGTCTCTGTGAACTAGCCCTGCCCCTATGCATTATCGCTGCAATAGGACTTCTTCAGGGAGCATATATGCATAGGGATGGGGATTGCAGCCAGTGACTTCATTGATGCCTGCTGGTGTACAATGGCATGGTGTTTGCTGTGTTTAACCTGTGTCATTTATGAGTACCTGTTCTTAGCTAATAACAAAGAGTTTTAGCAATATTACCCTATGTTGGTTTGCTTTTCTTCCTATATTCTCCTGAGGTGAGCTGTGCATTCTATGAGGCTGGCTGTTTTACAGAAAGAGAAACACATAGAATCATACAGTAGGGTTTATTTACTAAAGCTGGTTCATTCAGCTTCCAGGTTTTATTACTAAATCTTAATTGAACAAGCTAAGGTTAGAAGTTGATTGGCTACCATGCACAGCTGCACAAGATTCTGAGTGAACCAGCCCCAATGTGTCCAGTGGGGTTTAACTCTTCTTACAAGCACATTTTATCTTTTTATAATGCAGAGATTATGTATCTCTGGTAGGAAGCTTTCACAGTTGGTGGGCTGGAAAGTTTGGAACACCAAATGTTTAATAGCACACAATTTTTATATTATGTTCCAACAAGCCTTTGGGCTATCTGTGGACACTGGGTGTGGTCTTTATTTTTTCATTTTATTTTTTTTATTAATATTTTTATGGGTAACATTTGATTGCATTATATACTTTTGTATTTAGCGGATATGTTAATTATTGATGTAGAGACATAGAAGAAGGACACTGTGTTGTATATTTACATACTGTATAGCCATATTTTTAGTTTTCACGTGGGTTCGCACACTGTTTTTGTTTAAATTCCTGTATCCGGATACATGTGATGCTGAAATTCCTTGACATGCCAAGCACATTAGATTTTTTGTTTTATATTTTTACAGGGTGTTTTCCTCAGGATCAACTAGTATTTCCGAAATGCTAAAAATGAATAGGGAGAGAAAACAGAAGCTAACAAATGCTATGGAGGAGCATGATCACTGTTGACTGAATATTAGTTTGTGTGGCTGGGAACTACTGTATACATCCCTCTCAAAAGCTACATTTGAATTTCTTTCAATTCTTTTTTGATTGAAATTTTAATAAAAACATTTATAGATCTTCCAAAATCCTTAATAGCATAGAATTCTGAATAATAATGTGCATGACAAACCAGGAAATACATACATTGAAACATGAATAATAGAAAATTGCATCTATTTAGGTTTTGCTTATCATGAAATACAACTTTGTCTGCCTAAATATAGACAGAGACAGAAACAATATTTATATGTATAAACACAAAAAGACAAAAGAAAGGAGAAATAAAAGAACTGAAGCTGAAATTAGATCTAACATTATGCATCATCTCAAATTGGTAATTCCTCAAATATATCACATCTTATAATTCTGATGTTTTATATATATTCTCCCAACAAGAGCAGCTGGCACTAAAAGTATTCATAATATGTGATGAAATGGCAAAGGACCTCTCATAGATATAATGGGTGTTAACTCTATTAACAACATCTGAGACGTTGAATGTTTTAGTAGATTTCCATGCATTAGTTATGATTTTCCTGGTTGCAATTAAAATGTGAGATATTATTGTTCTATATTGAACAGGAAATGTGTTTATGGTAAGATTTAGTGATGCCGAATGAGCAGTGGGCTTTGTAAATATCCCTGTTACTTGTGAAATTAAGGCGAAAACAGCCTTCCAGAAACTTTGTATAGATTTACATGCCCATAGAACATACAATACATTTCCCACACTCCCACATTGTCGCCAACATAAGGGTGATACATCAGGGTACATTTTGGACAATTTGTATGGGGTAATGTAGCTATGATGTAATATCTTAAGGGAGTTATCCCAATGGTTAGTACATTTTATGAGGCCTATGTTATTGTTCATAGCAGTTTGCCATTCTTTCTGTGAAAATGATCTTTGGAGGTTCCTCTCCCACTTTACCACACAAGTTATTTTAGAAAAATCGTCATCATACTGTAAATATCTATAAAACCATGATATTCCTTTTTTTAACCCAAGAGGGTTCGATAATGAGGGCCTCAGCTTAGGGTCCACATCCACCCATGTCTTTGGATTGGATAGATGATAGTTACTAATATGAATATAGGGATAGATGTGTTTCCCCAACCATGAAGAAATAATATCCTTAATTGTTTGGAATTCTGCATCACTTAAAGGTTTAGTAGTAATATTAGGTATGATATGTTCATAGGTTGTTAGTGTTATATCTAGACTTAGTTTTTTCATGGATAAATTAGACTTAACTAGAACTGAGGACCAGGCTTTCAGGGTAGTAAAGATAGAGGGAAGGTAGGTTTTTATTTTTTTTTAGGCAAAATATATTTTGCTAATAAAATAGATTTAAGATCTCATTGAGGAACAATGGCCTGTTCAATTTGGACCCATAGTTTATCGGAAGGGACTATCCAGGATTTAAGCTGATCTAGGAGGGCAGCATAGTAATAATTTGAAATCAAAGCTAGGCCTATGCCTCCCTTGGACTTGTGCTTAGTAAGTGATGTATATGGGATTCCCTTTCCATGTATATTTTTTAAGAGCTGCCTCTATCTTTATTATCTCTGGAATAGGGGCCAAGATGGAAAAGTGTAGCCGGCTGGTGGATGCATATTTGTGTCCTTATGTGCAAACTCTTCCGTCTTATATACAGGATACCCCAGATTTGTTTCAGAAATCGGATGGGATCTATTGGTTCCACCTGGTTATTTATTGGTCTCCATAGATGCGGAGGCCCTATACTGCAGCAATCCTCATGAATTAGGAGTGGCTGCAGTAGACCACTTCTTGAATCAGAAGGAGATGGCAGCTTTCCCCTTTAATGTCTTTATCCTGCATTTGCTCAGACATATCATGAGAGTGGGAGCACAATCTCTTCTAGGATGAGGCCTTTTCAGCATATCTATCCAACATTCTTTGTTGGTATAGATATATAGATGATGTTTTTCTTATCTGGGATTCTGATATATGCTTCCTGGAGGAATTCATGAAGCTGTTAGCCCACAATAGCTACAATCTTAAATTCACCATACAACATGATTAGAGATGAGCGAATTATTCAAAAATTCGATTCGCTGATTCGCCGAATTTGCGGAATAATTCGATTCGATGCGAATTTATTCGCTGCGAATTTAACTTATTAAAAGGGTTTCTAGCTTCAGAGAGCCTTTATATTAGTGCAGAACACTGTACCTTTAATTTAAATGCCCTTGGAGTCTGCTGGGGAAGAGAATAATACTGTCAGTCAGTATGACATGCAGATGAGTGCCGTTGATCTTAGAATCACCGCACACTTCACTCATTTGGGCAGTCACGGGGCCAAAACCAGAGTGTGGAGCCACAGTGTGGCGGTGGAGGCAGCAGCAATGGGAGGCCATACAGCACCCTATGACAAAATGGAACCCACCAGCAGTGTGAGGAGACCTGAAAGTGGCACATGGCAGAGTGTGGCGATGGAGACAGCAGCAATGGGAGGCCGTACAGGGACCCATGACACACTCTGGACCTGGCAGCAGCATGAGGAGGCGGTACAGGGGCCCATGGCAGAGTGGCGAAGCGTAAGCAGCTTAAATTGAAGGCCATACAGAGGCCTATGTTAAAAAGTCCCCCCAGCAGCAGTGTGGGGAGACGACTATCAAGGGTCCAATGGCAGAGTGGCGGAGCAGAAGCAGCTTCAATTGAAGAAGAAGAGGATGAGGATGAAAGAAGAAGAAGAGGATGAGGATGAAGAAGAAGAAGAGGATGAGGATGAAGAAGAAGATGAGGATGAAGAAAGAAGAAGAAGAAGATGAGGATGAAGAAGAGAAGAAGAAAAAGAGGAGAAGAAGAAGAAGAAGAAAAAGAGGATGAGGAAGAAGAAGAAGAAGATGAGGAAGAAGAAGAAGATGAGGATGAAGAAGAAGAAGAGGATGAAGAAGAAGAAGAGGATGAAGATGAAGAGGATGAAGAAGAAGAAGAAGAAGATGGGATGAAGAAGAAGAAGAAGAAGAAGAGGATGAGGATGAAGAATAAGAAGAAGAAGAGGATGAGGATGAAGAATAATAATAAGAAGAGGATGAGGATGATGATGAGAAGAAGAGGATGAGGATGATGATGAAGAAGAAGAGGATGAGGATGAGGAAGAAGAAGAAGAAGAAGAAGAGGATGAGGAAGAAGAAGAGGATGAGGAAGAAGAAGAAGAAGAAGAGGATGAGGAAGAAGAAGAGGATGAGGAAGAGAAGAAGAAGAGGATGAGGAAGAAGAAGAGGATGAGGAAGAAGAAGAAGAGAGATGAGGATGAAGAAGAAGAAGAAGAAGAAGAAGAAGAAGAGGATGAGAGAAGAAGAAGAAGAGATGAAGAAGAAGAAGAAGAATGAAGAAGAAGAAGAGGATGAGGTTGAAGAAGATGAGGATGAAGAAGAAGAAGATGAGGATGAAGAAGAAGCAGAAGAAGAAGAAGAAGAGGATGAGGTTGAAGAAGATGAGGATGAAGAAGAAGAAAG